TTTTTAAATAAATGATGTTTTAAGCACAAAAATCGATATTTATTATTTTTAATTCCACGAAACGTAATTATCCAAGAAAATGACTCGATTTTATGTTCCCTTAGTGCACTCTATTTATAGACTAAAGGGTACACATTAAGTCCAAAACTTAATTAATAATGCAGTTAGACTATTTAACTAACATAATTAATTATCTATGCCAACAAATTAGTACATATACAGGGTGTTTTGTTAATATTGCGAAAAATTGCAACCACACATTTCACATCAAAAAATAACATTAATAACAAAAAATCATCACCCTGTATATCCATAACAAAGCTTCAAAGGACTATAGTTTATTTGACAAACTAGTGTTACTTTTCGGTGTAGAATCTGTAGTTGCAATTTTTCGCAATGTTAAGAAAACACCCTATATTTTTATACAGAGTGCGCCAGAACTCGCACCCCAGAGAAAAATGATAGTTTTTGCACTTTGACTGCTTTTATTGGTAAAATTTTTGTACCTATACCAAATAATTCTAAAAAAAAACATTAAAATGTCAAATGTCAAAAAATAAATGTCAATTTATTTTGACAGATAGAATTTTTTAAACACCCTGTATAACAAATTAGAAGGATTACCAACAACTCAGTGTTGCCAATTTGTACATTTAAAGGTCAGGTGTAGGTGACCCCGAAATCGTTTCCCCCCCGCCCCCCCCCCACCCGCTTATTACACACTCGAGTGGATAGACAATATCCGAGCGGAAGTTTATTCAGCATCATAGTTGGCGTTCGTAAAATCCTTGCAAGTTTGTTATTGACATGTGGCAATTCATACATCACACTTTAAAACATGTACAAACCCGGCGCATCCACCATATTTGGAAGTTTGTCAAAATCGATACTTGAGAACTAAATGGAGAGTAATTTATGGCTTTGGACCACTTGGCCTTTCAGGTTTCGTCGATAATGATTGACATAAATCGCTAATCAAACAAAATGAACCGTTTTTAATAAACTGTCAATCCCTCAATAAGCCAGATTTTAAGTTTTTTCAAACCGGAAATTGAAAATCAAGGAATTAAAATCGAGATATTTAATCATTTTATCTTTAAAAAAAATATATAGTGTGTCTTTGGACTATTGTCGGTTGGTGACAAACAAAAGATTTCGTAACTAGTGTCAAAAATTGAGGTTAAGTCACCTGTCAGCTTGTGTCAATAACTCAGTTGATAGTTGGATGCAGGTTGACAGAAAATGTCAAATGTCAATAATAAGGGGTAACCAACCTTAGACAATCAAAATTACTTCTGAAAATTCTAGTTGCAAACAACATAAAAAATTTCTTGTTGACAAATTTGTATTGTAAAATAATAATAACGTTTTGTGCACTTTTTTGAGTCCTTAAGACCTCTAGAAATGTAAAAAACGTTAAATGGATCAATTTTAAAGTTGAAATTTTTTTGGATTTTTGTCGAGATTTTGGTCGATTTTTGGCACCC